TCTGGTACTAGCCAATATTTCAATATTTTTCTAGGAAATCATTTACAACTTTATAGCTTTAAACGTTGCTCAATATAGCAATGTAATATTTAATTTTAAATTGACGTCGTCCATCCTCATGACATATTAGGGATTTGGAAGGACCCAAAACTTGAATAATCTGTTAGGATCATAGGATTAGGCCGTACAAATGTGAGGACTTGTGGGGCCTACACTATCAAGTAACTGTAATACTACCCACTCAGAAGTTATGTGTTCTAATTATAAGGTATGAATCTCAATAATTCATTTTGATATTCACTCGAACCTGTATGAGTGACTGTAATAATTTATGAAAATGAATAAATGTTGTAATTTTTCCGAAGATTAAGAAAAAGTACTTTTGTTAGCTTTTATTTTTTATTTTATTAGTACTTTTTTCGAGGTAATTTAAATAGTAGGGAATCATTTAAAAGTTTTTGCAGGCTGTTTCAAAAAACCATTTGTGTTATACAACTAAAATTGTATAGATATCTCTTATAAGTATTTGAATTTTTTAATTTGAAATGTTTCCATCCTGGTACAAATGTTATACAGAGTATGTAGATTTAAATAGTTTTTTTATGTTTTACAACATCTTATCACAAATAACCTTTTAGTATACGTTATTTGTAAGTTCCCTAGTGATTCTTAGTCTTTATAATTCTTTAGCATCACCTTAGCTAGGATAAGAAATTTTAGGTCCAAGCCCATTTATTATACAAACTGAAACCAAGAACTAAGGAGGAGCCCCTTGGTAAGTCTAAGGAGTTCTTGTTAATTAAGATTGACGAGTGATTAAGAAATGATTCTGGAGAAGAGCAATTAGGATAATGGCTGAAGGCGCAAACTGTGAACTTTGGCAGCCAACTTTGCACCCATTAGTATTTTAAGGATAAATGACGTTTACGTATTACAAAATTGAAGCCAGTTATAAAGCACATAGATGACTTATTCATTCGACTTTGAATTTGTTATGTTCCTTTTTGTCAAAAATTTGCCAATGCTAGTTGGGCTTTTTAATTTGAAAGCTAGTTTGTAGTGTAAAATATATTTAATTTCTTTGGATCAGCTGTCTGAAATTGTGAAATGAGCATTTGACAGTTTTGACTATTTACATTGAAATGTCAATGCAAAGATAAACATTGTGAATTTTCTCATGCTTCCATGGAGACCAAATAATATTTACTTTTGAAAACCTCACCTCAAAACTTTGGAAACCCAAGGGGCGTAGCCTGAGAGGAACTCAGGGAAGTGAATAGGCCTATGACATTCCTAGGTATGTGGACAATCTTTGTGCTTAATTTGGGTTGTATCGGTTTATTATTTTAGTCATGGCAGCCGGACAGATACCACCTCAATTTTATAATAGTATCGATAGATAATGTAATGTGTACATTCTGTGTACACGACAGTAATACCTACTTAACATCTCACTCCATCATACAATCTCCCTTAATAATTTATTTAGCTTAAAATAAACAGGTGTGCGTCGCTGTCTTAAACTTAAAGAACGGATCGAGTCTTATTTTGCATCACATGACATAACATTTATGTAGAATGACTTCCAATGTTTTAATTTGTAAGTGTCATTACAAATTATTTAAAATGTAGTACAAAAATTGCTTAACCCTTAACCAGGAAAATTGTATGATCATTTCATACTTTCAAATATACTTTCATTTCCATCTGCCGGCCAAACCACACATCCACTATCAATATCATAATTTGGCCAATATTTTTACAATGTTTTCATTTCTATGTATTCCTTGAGTTAATGTTTGTGACGACTCCTCTCCCAAGGACGAAGAAAACCATTTTAATGGTACTCTGCTTGACAATGAACTTTCAGGTTCAAAACCGATGTCGCTTCACCAAAAAAAATCGCTTGACAGTACAAGAGGAACTCTTGGTATGTTATTTCATACACTTAGCGTAGAAAAAGTATTCTTTGATGTTTGTAAAGGGTACCTGAAATAATAACTCGCCAGTACAAAGGATATGTTTAACCTTACATTACATTTGTCAAAGACAAAAATATTTTATCAATGTTTGTGAAAAGAGCTTCAAATGTAAAACTGACTTGAAAAGAAAATACATTAGAGAGTAAACAAGGGAAGGGTAAATTATAGGCGGGATATTTACTTGGATGGAGTGGCACCACTGCACTCCGGGGACCCGACATGCACCAAACTGAAGAAATAACGGCCCATTCAGCCCATTCTCACAGCTACATAGCAGCATGAAGCTGCGCTGTTCACATCGAGGTCCTAGAGCCACTAAACAATTGTTCCGGATTTAAAAACATGTCAATTCATCAATTTACATTATTGGAATCCGAAGCAAATTTTGTTGTTTTATAACATTAGTATTTTGTTTTAATTGAATTCTGTTGAACATTTTTAAATTTCTTATTTACTTGAGCTAAATGTTTATTTAGTTGCTACTGAATGATCCCAAGTTATTTTGCCCGTGAACAGTGTATATACTGTATATTACAAAACAAAAGTTCAGAAGAACCGTTTGTTGACTACATGAATTGTAACTTAGTTTTAGCTGGTTAATGTTAATCAATGTTGAATTTTTTTTTAAGTTACATAGAGGATATAAATCTGTAAATTCATCTTTTAGGACAGAACCACTGAAGCGTTGGAAGTCATCACTTTTCCTCTAAATCAAAAATATTTAGTAACACCAATTCATCTTTGCTTATGAAAAATATTTAAATGAAAGCAATTTGATTTGGAAAAATGTTTGTTAACACCATAGGTATTTTGATACATATTTTGTGAGAGAACTCTTCAAACCCTGGACGTGTTACTATTTAACGTATATTTTTATAAGATATCATTTATAATTGATAATCACATGACAAATGGCAGCTAGTCCAGAATAAAACACCGTTAGGAATCAAACCCGTACACTTCATATTAAAACGTAAACACTATACTTACTCAGCTTCTCCCTCAGTGCTTTTAAATATTATCTTCAACTTATATAAAATTAAACCCCAAATAAAATTGTCATTGACATCCCTAAACACGTAATGTTATTACAATAAGTTATGATAATTAAGTCGATACCCTAAAAACTATTTACACTTGACCTGAATAATTTTAAAACGTATATTGAATAATTTTAAAGCGTATATTGACACTAACAACGCCCTATACTCGTTTGTAAACTACAGTCCAATTTTCAGTCGGGTTACAACAACAGATCATTATCGACAATGGTCCCATATTCAGTCCCTAGGGCCGCGAGTCGCCATGGATACAACGGTCCATAAACACTGGCATACATCGCCTCTGGGACCAGAGTCCACTATGACACTCTGTCTACATTTATTGTGGTCCTACAGCTTTGCAAGCAGGACATTCGTATTGAGTGTGAAATGGTCATAGCACGTACTGCATTTAAATTGATATTTAATTTTTGAATCCAAAATGCTAGGTTTTTACGTACATGACAAATATAATAGAAGTGAGTATGGAAAAATAGTATATTTTATGGGATATCGCTACAAACCCCTCACATTGTAATGGCAGTTTGCTCCCTATATCATAGGGATACCAGTGATATGTTTATGCGTAGGAAAGAAGGGAAATGAATTTGCATTACAGTACAAAAGAAGTACCTAAAAACAAAATTATATGGTGGTCGCATGAGAGCAGAATGTCGATCATAAAATTAAAAGTATCTGTGTATGAAGAGCAAAAAGTTAAAAAAATACTGAAATTTACAAATTTTAAAATGTTCAAAATTATTTTAATGCGTGTGTTTGGTAATTTTTCTGCATGGTATTGAAAAGTTCAGCACTAAC